GGGTTTTTGGAAATTTCTGGAACTATACTAAATATAATGGCAGTATAGGTAAATATCTAATCAAAACCGTGACACGTGATTCTGGATACTCTATATGTATTTGAGGTGTTTCTATTCGGCTTTGATTGGAAAAAACGTTTTCTCCTGTTTCTGAGCCTCTTAAGCATTGACGAGGGATATTATAGAACTCCCTCAACAAACACCATGATGAATGAAACACTATAACTTATAACAAGGTGGAAATTACTCATATCTGGCCGTCAACTAACAGATCTGTTTGTTTGCTTTGACCGAAAACAGGAATTTTAATTTAAGACGTGGGATTATTCAGGTAAATTTTTGTACGGAAAATGCTACAAGACTATAAAGAAGAAGAACTCAACTTTGTAGTTTGTAATTGTTTCTCCTAGTATTAAAAACACAAGTTTTTGAAATTTATTTCAATTCCTTAAAAAGCGCCATTACATTTCTTGAGTGAACGAGACCAGAAGATTTAGAGTAGTGATGGTGCCTAGCAGTGAAATCCAGGACATTCGTTCCTCCTATTTGTGACTTATTAGCTTAATGTAACTACATCCTAATATTAATGTTTACATACAAACGCAATTTCAGTACGTTTAGCTTCAAAAGTTCAACCCAACATCCACTGAGCTACTGAGTCCAGATAACCACTAGCTTATGCAACTGGAATGCATTGCATTGTTTATTAATACGCTCAAATTTCCTGGTGGTTAATGGTAAGGCCTGGTAATGTGCTCAGAATGTCTATATATCCTTAAAGCAATTGATCAATATGCAGTTTCTGACAATATCAACAGAAATATCGTAATTGTTCTCAATATTAATATTGATTCAGATATAAAGAGAATTAGAAAAAAATCTTACACATCATAGAGCCAAGTAACAGTGATAATATTGATAAGAAATTTTTGTAGTTCATCTTACGTAATACAATATGATTAAAGTGTCTTTTTCGAGAATTAACTTTTCATGACCTTTGTGTAAATATCTAGGTATTAAATTATTTTGGTACACCAACAGAAAAGACTAATCATATTAATGATTTCATTTAAGCAATATATAAAAATTGCATGTATCTTGAAATAGTCTATTTATAATATTAGTACCGGTCATAACGTTACCTGTAAGTACTGAATTTTGTGTGTACGGGTTTTGATGGGTTGCCTTTTTTATTGACAGCGAAGTGAAATTTGACGTTGAATGAGTGTTAGCAATGGATGGATGAGCACTGCTGAGGAGTTCATACTAGGACGAAACGGCTGTTCAGTGATTCCAGATTTTCAGTTGTGGCCTAGCTTAGATCGACATGTGATTTTAACGGTGAAAATAAAAAAAAGCGTTCTGCTAATAATAGGGGTTTACATTTTTCTGTTTTTGATGTTGAGAATTGCAAAAGATCGGTTTCTTTTGGTATGTGAACATCCTAAGAGGTTGATTCCCATATTGCCATTTAACCATAAATTTTCGGTAAAGTCAGATGGGCCCTAGTATTGGAGTCGAGGATATGGGTTTGTCGTATTTGAGACTGACAGGATAGTTGCACTTATATCCCAATGTTGATGTTCTCACTCAAACTGGGATGCAGTTACACCCAACTTATGATTCCCACTACAAGCCAATATCCAATTTTTCTAAATGTTTATATTTCTTTTTCTCTTAAGTACTAAGTTTTTAGCACTAAAGTATGAACTTGGCAAAAATAATGCCTCATTCGAATGAACAACATTAAAAGTAACTTTCAAGCTACATACTAAAAAGATTCGGATTTCAAACGAGTATTGAATTTGTAGAAATTTCTTATTAAATGTCTAGAGACAGGAAAGAAATTTTAACACACTTGGCTTTATCCTGTAAATGACTGGTTGTATTGAAATTTCTGATCAGTTTGTCTAATTCAGCATTCGAAATCCATGTGTTTGAAATGTTTAAATGCCCCATTTACCTCGACGTTCAGTATTCTCTAATATAAGAGTAGGTTAAATAAATCTACGATCAAGTAGATCATGATATGCCATTAACACATTAAGTCATTCATTGTTATTCTGACCCATATCAGTAGATACAGACCTGCTTGTTAAGGCTCAAGCGATACTCATCCTCAATGTCCTAAAACATTCGGTGACATGGAGCAAAATCACTTGCACTGGAATTGCTTTATTCATTCCCCATCTCTGACCTACCCCCCCCTTATAACAGAATTAAGTATTATTCTCATCGTTCCATCCTTTCGTCTTGCTCGATAGTTTTGGCTTGTTGTTCTTATGTTCAATTTTCTAGACATAGTTCCTCTCTATTAGCTTCTTATCTCGTTAGTTTGCTCCCTCACTGTATTGTGCGAGGTATGGTAACTCGGATCGAGTTCGACATTGATTATAACTATTCGATAATTAATACATGATGTCGTCAATCAAGTTTTTAAAATTCTCAATTACTGTAAGCTGAAACTAGCTCCAATTTATTGTTCTAAGCTTTTTGAGAAAATTCAAATCTTGTCAAAACTCAATAATAAATATGGAGTCAACTGGGAGCAAAAATCGGAATCAGATCCAGATAAACTGCGTGACGTTTCTTCCCATACTACTACTATCACTAATAATAGTAGTAATAACCTCAACAGCTTTCGTACTTTATACAATATAAATAAATAGGTATCAATTTGTTAATATTGCCTTGATTTTTTGTCCCAGTTATGATAAGCTCGGAATATTCAATTAGATGATGGTCCTGCAGTATTGCGGATTCAATGAATTTAGGAATGTTTCCTATTGAGTGTTAAATCAGTTGTCTGAAGGTTAGTCGTTCTCCACGTGGCATGAAAATCATGACTGTAACACCTCGTAGTGTTGCAGATGCACAATAATAAAGGGAACATAGTTAGACGAAAGAGTTGTAGAGTGCTTCATGATTTTTAATGGTTCACTGAATGAAATCAATCCGCTATGTAGGATTGCATAAATAATCAAACTTAGCAACATTTTATACCAACTAACAGTAATCTAGTTACTGCTAAACAAATTTCCCAGAATTGATTATGTTTCAGTAGATCAACATGAAACTCATGCTTATCCACATGATCCTTTGCTTATAGTTGTATATTCAGTGGTTTTTTATCATGATGTCCATGACTGATTAGTTTTGCTCATGTTAAGAATCTATGTTTAGTTGCAGCTAGAAAGTTTAAGTCATGATGAGGCTAGTTAAACACAAGTAGTTGGAGATGTACCATTCTCGCAAACTTTAATATTCCATTTCCTGAATGTATGCTCTTCATTAAATCACTTTCAAAGATCAAAGACGGCAATATCTAAAAAAAGATATGACGTTTTAGTATGAGGTTTATTCGATACTTAGTTTGAATATCATCAGGAGAATCCTGAGGTGTTTTTCAAAACGTCATAAAATGAATGTAGTAGAGATAGGATTTTAGCTCTAGCCATAAATTCGCTTTAGTCAAATAATGGTTGTGGTTTTATGAATGGATTTTCAACTGTTAACATGAAAGATGATAATGATTTGTATATGAAATATAGTGGTATAATGTGGCTGAGTGATGTCCGCTCATGATGCTGAATTACTGACTTGAACCCCCTAAATGATTTGAGGTCAAACGCAAATCCGTTAGCAAGAAGAATTGATTTTTTTTCCTGTAATGAAATGTCTTGCTTATATGAACACAAAAACAACATGATAAGTAGTCGTAGACGAATGAACACTATCAGTACAAAATATTAAGGATTTTGAAATCATTATGTGGCAAAATTTTACCGTGATTTTTGATTATTAGTAAATTAGAGAAACTTAAATATGAGTGTAGCTGTAAGACTTCACCTTATATGCTACATAATTAGTCCAGAATATATTTTGATGTAGAGTTGAACCTCTTCAGTAAAACAACTTTGAGAATTGTTTAATACTCTACAGTCAGGTATACTAAGCTTCAAGAATTGCCAAATTAAATAAAAACGGTTCAATGTTGGGCAAAGAATTATATCACGAAATTATTTTCTAGGTTCCAATAAATAGAAGACAAGGGACTTAAAGAAAGAAATGAAATAAGTGCTCCTTAATGAGATAAAATCTCAGCTTTGAATAATGAATTACAGTGAATCATGCTTATGATACAAAACATAACCTCCATCAGGATAGCATATAAAATTGTACAGTTTGGAGTATCAATACTGACTTCTAATAGAAAGGTTATTGTTGTTGAATTTTACTGACCTATGAAATTTCATATTCGATTCTATAAGATAAATTAGGATAGATCATACAAAGCAATATAATTTGATAAGTTAATAACACCAAACGCTTGATTTAATTACTACTGAGGAATCTCAAATATGCAACCTCAGTGAGTGACGTTTCCTAACTTTGTCATATATTTATTGTATGGAATAATTACCTTTCAAGTTCTACGACATGTTACATCCTCATAGCTGTTTTATTTCTATTTCTTTACATTTCTTCGAAATACAGTTAGATCATAAGCAAAGATGGGTGGTGACTAGCAGTGGAATCAAGGACATGTGTTTCGTCCCGTTCGGGACTCGTCTGTTGGATGTGCCTGGATTCAGGGACTCCTAAATAGGAAGGAACGCGAGTCCTCGGTTTCACTGCTAGTCACCATTCATATTTGATTCTAATGCTTATGACTTAAGGCAATATCAAGGCAATCCGTATAGGACTCACATATGCCAATAACAGATTGATCAGTTGTAGTGCTAAACATCAATGGAAAGTTTCAAACAAACAATACAAAATGAATTTACAGTTAGATTAGTTTACTGGATTAAAGAAAATCTATGAACTGTAGTTATGTTTTCAAAGAATTTCAGCATTGATTTCAAGTATGAGTTCATTGTGATGATGTCATACTTAAATTGAATGCAAAAATGTGTTGACTAATTTTATTCAAATAAGTATAATCAGTTAGTGAGTGAGTGGTACTCACTTCTGAATTATTGTAAGGAGAAATTTGTCATTTAACTAATCTCCACCTTAACCTTTTGTAAGTTCAACAAAATTTTTTAATCAGACTTAAGGTCTGTCTGTCTAACCAGTTACGCAATCACTTAAATTTATATAGAAGTTAGAAATGATTGATCGGACTTCCAACCATTACGTTCTTATCAAACGGTCTAGTTTTTTCTAACATGACATCTTAGGTTCAACAACTATTCAAATAAGCTTTTATATGACATCATCCGAGTTGTTAGCCAAAGGAAATTATTAATGTGTCTTGATCGGTCCATTGTCTGGCTAAGATTGTGTACCCTTATCTTACCATTTTCATTCTCTTCAGGTCAACATTGGTCAATCACTTTTGAAGGTTGGATGTATATTTTCATACTCCTTTCCACATCAGTCTAAGTGGCCTGAAATATTAAAAGTGAGATTTACGGGGGGAGAGGTGGTGAAAATCAGAATTCCCAACAAATTTATAGACCAATCAGAAGCTGAGTTGAAAGAACAAAAATTCAATTTACTAATTTCATGTGCTAAGTCATGGTTCTAAATGTCAGTATGATGTTTTGAATCACATCATTAAGAAGAGAGGATCATTCCGAATTATTACGTCCTTATTTTTCTAGCTTTCGAAATATTTTATCATAACAGCGACTTCTGGTTCAGATTACTAAATGGATCAATTTAACGGTAAGTTAGTGTTTATGATCTATAAAATATCTCTGATTTCGTATACTTTTGGAGGTATATTTGGGACTAATCAATTATAATTTAGGCCACTGATGCGTTCCTCTGTCGACAGTTGTTTCTTCGTAAAATACAATGATAGCTGTGTTTATTCTGAATAATGTAACAGAACATAGAACATTGTCACCTTCGGAAAGTTCGTCTGAACCACAACGACCACATCAACTAGAAATGACATACTCAATAACTAAGTTTATATTTGTGTATTATGCTTCAGTTACATTTATTCGGGAAAGATCAATATTAGTTTCGGCGTTCAAATAGGTCAATAGACTGAAAACATAAACCATTTTTTCAGTGTCTTGGACAATCGCGGCAGTGTAATGTTAATGAAAACAGGACATCTTATTTTCACATTGTCATACGGTAGCATCAAGATAATTCCCACCTATTAACTTTTGTCATATGCCAAATATAGCACGTTCAGAAGTATTTTTTTACTACTGAGAACGTACACCATAATTATAATTAATTCAGTTGATGGTGATTTTCTATCAGTGACTTCAATCAGACACTAGTGACGTATACTCTAGTTCGGTTGAACTTATTTTTCCGTAATCATATGATTTACTGGATGACTTAAAATTTCGTTCTCTTCGTTTAGTAATAAAATAATTAGTAGGTATTATGTATGGCTTTCATGCTTTGAAACTTAACTCTTTAGATATGTATGTAAGCGATGTTTAGCTTAGAGGATTAGGGTTCTTTTAAGATTCGACTGACTAGTTCTATATTTAAATACAATCTTTTTTTCTATGAACTATTAATCAGTTTACGATTTAGTAAATCATTGATTAATGTGCTAAAGAATATATAATGTTGAGAATGAATTGAATTGTAGAAAATCATTTTTAAATGTCAAGGGTTTAACTTTTGACAGCATTTCTTTATATTCTGTCACTAGTTACAGATCCTGGGTAATATGACTAAGGCCAACTGATGTAGTTCTGATATATCCACTGTCAGCTTGAATTTTTCACGGATTTTATTTTGGATACCAATATTTTATGCTTATTTCTGTTTTCGCTTATTCTTTTTCTGATTTTCCATCTTATTGAGTATCATAATTTAGCAAATTTCATAAGGTTCAAGTTTTCTCGCACTCTTTCGTCTATAGGAACTCAATGTAAGGAATTAAATCTTCGCCATTTTTAGGTACTAAGCGTGTCTAAACGTATACTGTAAACTGTTGTCACTGTATCGTAATTTCACGGATTATTGTTCATAACCCATTATACTTCTGTCTAGGTTGCCAAATAATAACATTATAGTTTTTTGCCCAGACGGAATTGTAGTTTTAAAATTTGTAAGTTATATGTTATACAGCAATTCTTAAGATTTGTGACAAGTCCAAAGTTCACTAAACACAACTACACCCTCCCAATCAATTGTTTATCCAACAGATTAGTGTATTAATTCTCTATTTTAAACAAAGAAAAATTAGGACTAAAAGTTACCAAAAAATTTAAGTATGAATTGCTATGCTTGAATTAATTCATTCTTATAAATCAATTAAACGTACATTTTTTCAAGGATACAAAAGCGCCGTGTGGTTATTTCCTCCAGGAAGAAGTACCTTTCTTATTAATTCCGATTTTGTAACAGATTTCTTAATCCTTATTGAACGGATTAGTAACATTGGAAATAATGTAAATACACTTTTAATATTTAACTGCTTGTTTCATTTAAATATAAAACCACTTACTTGGTTGACGATTCATTTTAAGTATAAGGTTGTGAAGATTGTTAAGTTTATACTGATATTATGAATGGGTCAGTGTTAGACTACCATTGAAAACCTAAAAGAAGTGGGCGGCTGCTTCGTCCTAGTATGGGACTCCTCAGCAGTATCGTGGATTGGTTGAAGTTGGACATTGACACCGTTGAATACCGGCTCATTGGTCTAAGGATTAAGCGTCTAGGCGCGAGATAGAAGGTGCTGGGTCCGAATGCCTTTGGCGCGGAATCGTGGATGCACACTGCTGAGGAGTCCCATACTAGGGTGAGACGATCATCCAGTGCTTCCAGATTTTCAATGGTGGTCTAACACTGATCCATTCATGATATTAATCAAAATTTATCTATTTGTTTAGATTGTGTTTTCAACTGATTTTCTTTTTAATGTTTATAAATTCCATTTTGTTCTAAGAATATTTGGTTGATATAATGTTGAAAAAATATGGAAGTGGCGTCGAATATTAGAAGGTTATAATTTATATTAATATATTAAAGCATCGTTTTGAATAAAGGCATTAAGAAAGTTATAACTTTTTTTCTGACAGAAATTACGAATTGAGGAAGGTCTTTAAAAACAATTAACTTGGGAATGGTGAGTGTTACCGTTTGGTTTTTTGGTCACATTCTTATCATTTGTAAGTAGTAAAATAAGATTTCATTATTAGGTAGCTTTGGCGGTTAATGAATTCACCTCTTAACAGGGGAAGTCATAGGTTTGAAATCCAACTAGTTTTAGTTTATTCAGCCAGGTAGTGACATTAACCATCAAATGGTGGGACTCAAAAGCAAATGCACAACCCCTTCGTAGTGAGTAAATCACGTAGTTAGTTGATGCTTTAATTAATTTTGTTGCATTGAGGCCAGATATCAATCATAGTTCATGAGTATATTCGATTTCGCAATCGGCTGTATTATCTTAGAAGACTAATATCGTTATAGAAATTTCAAAAATAGACACTTTGATATATGCTTAAACGTGCATTTCATTTTTCTTAGTACATCGTGTTATGACTCATAAGTTGAACGTTTTATTCGGATCCTAGCTATTCGGATAACCCCAGGCTAGCACTACTCAGCGACTTGGAAGACCAGAGAGAAGACACGAGTATCAGAGAAGCACTTTACTACAAGGTTCAATTATGTACAGAAAAACAGGGGTTTTATAGTAGCTAAAAGACCTTGAGATCCCATAGTAACAGTATGTTAACAGCCAATCAGGACCTTGTTATTTTAGTAGCATAGCTTCTAACTAATCGCTGATTGGTTGGTCTCTTTATGAGCCTCTCTGGAGGCTCTGATAGAGTTTATTGTAAGCCGATCTAACACATCGAGAAATTAAAGGACATTGGATGTTTTTAATTTTTAGTTCTGTCGTATTCACTGGTTATCTATATGTGAACTCCATTTCACCGGATTATGAACCGATTAAATGAATATCTTTTCACTAAACATTCTTCAACCATTCATAGAAGTAGTTTATGCAATCCATAGTCCATTGAATTACTTACGAAATCCAGGCCTATGATATAATTAATTAAAGTAATGCTCTTACTTTTCTAACTCATTATTGGATTCTATAACATGGCTATATCTTAATAATTAAAGTTTTTCTGAGTTAGTGTTTTACATCTTTCAATTTGATTTCTTATAAATTAGATTGTAATTCATACAGCGACGTAAAGGCAGTATCTTTCTCAACTAATTAAATGTTTATCAATTATGTGTGATGAAAAGGGAATTTCATTTCTAATCCTGACTTATTATTATTATTGTAAGCGATTTTTCCTGTCCCTACCACACAAAACTAAGTTCAGGACGGGTTAAGATTGGGTCATGACCTCATAGGGAGAGGGATTAATATAAACCAATCATCGAATGTCGTTTATCTGGACTTCACCTTAACAAATATTTGTATTACTGTGAATTGTTGTACGACACTAACAAAATGATGTAGGTACAGAGTTCAAACAGAATGGAAATACTTAGCAAATAATGCTTGGTTCGCTACTACATATTCAAATTTGTAATTATAATGTACACTTTCGTTCATTTTGATCATTCTCTTCTATAAGCTAATATTGATTTTAACAGCTGAATTCATGAGTTGATATAAGCCAGACCACCATTGAAAACCTGAAAGCACTGGACGACCACTTCGTGCTAGTATGGGACGCAAGATCTGTTGAAGTTAGACATTGACACCTTCGGATACCGGCTCAGTAGTCTAGAGGTTAAGCATTCGCGCGCGAGACTGAAGGTTCTGGGTCCGAGTCCTTTCGTGCAGGATCATGGATGCACACTGCTGAGGAGTCCATACTAGGGCGAGACGGCCATCCAGTGCTTCCAAATTTTCAATGGTCTAAATTAGATCGACTCATGAATTCATTTGTTAAAATTACTGCAATCTCTACAAATACCTATTCTGATAATACATTTTTGACAATTGTTAAAAACGTACTTAATTACTCATGTTACCCCTCGTAGCACAGGAGCACAGGCCAGCCATCAGCATTATCCATTGAACTATGTCCTGGATAATCTTTTCCAGTTGTTTCATTTGCTATCCATCCTTTTGATGTCTGCTTCTAATTTTTGACGCAGTGTGTTTTTCGGTTTTTCTCTCTTCTGTTTCCCTTCAGGATTCCAAGTTAGCGCTTACCTCATGATGAAATCTGATGATTTTCGTAATGTATGCCTCATCCATTTCCATTGTTTTTCGCTAATTCCCTCTTCAGTTGGAAGCTGATTTGTTCTCCTACCGTAGACTGTTGCTGATGGTATCCGGCCAATGGATGTTGAGTGTCTTGCGTAGACAATTGCTTGTAAATACTTGTTGAAAACTAGAGACAATTAGTTGTAAAGATATTTCGTTTTCGTTCAAAATTTCATAGTATAATTGATTAACTGCCTTATACAGAATCAAATAGAGGAACTTTAGAAGTCTATGAGGCGCATTAAAATAATCCGACTGTTCATTTCAGTGAAACTACCATTTTATGTAGTCATTATCTAACCATGATAGTGAATATTTAGCTCAAAATCTCATTAAACCACTTGACTAAATTTCTTTTATTCTGTATCCATTTTTTGACCATTTTAAATGAAATGGTTTGAAGGTAATTATGGCAATGGTACGCAAGGACAACAAGTATACTTAAAATTTTTATGGATTACGGTTCTATCTTAAACACTAACGAAAAGAATGGTAAAAGTGTGCTAGTGACCTTGAACCACTTATTTACCAATCAGATAACAATGTTCAGGTGTCAAATAATTCTTTACAGAAAGCCGTAAGATTATGTTGGATAAAGAGTTTTGATATGATTACTGAATTATTACATGTTGTATTATTTATTATAGTAAACGAAGAAACGCTAATCTAGGTATTCGGAGTTTGGCTAGAGTTATAAATGAAGGTTAGGGTTAAAAATCATTGCGGTTTTTACCGCTAACTGACATCAGAAATAGTGCAATGATACTTCCCATTGTCTCCGTTTCTAAACTTGTGAAAGTTAACGTTGTGGTTTAGAGCTAGGAGTTGGGGTTGGAGAATAATTGTTAGCAACGCAAACATCGTTGACTATACACTGAATCATATCAAGTACTCTGATATACAATCTACCTCAATAATAGGTGTTTTTTTCGTAATTTAGTTTAAGCACTCTGTCATCTTTACTGCTTGGTTAATTAGGTATTTGAATCAGTTATGAACATTTTACGAACCAGATATTAAGACTACTTAATTTGTAATAAGATACAAGCTATCCTTCGCTTCAGTTTGTTCAAAAAGTTTAGAAAGCTCTTCACTAATTAGTTCACACAAGGCCTTCAGTATAGTATACTTTTACTGGAAAATTACACCAGTAATTATTAAAACATTATACGGATATTTGATGAAAATCGTTTCGTTGACTTATTACTAATCATAATGTAGTTTCGGCTTATTCACATTTAGGTAGCAGTGTTTTCGATGTGAAAACTCTTTTATCATGTCTACTGGTTATCAGTGCTATAAGGAGCAAACGTTATGGGTGATCATGGAGACCAACTTAATACATGCGTCTGAATGACCTTGGACTACTAATTATTGGATATTGTTTATATCGACTTTAATTTATATTTCCAAATAATTTTCACCTGATGAAACGTATCTAGACAAGCACCACATCTTCAGCATTTGTTTATTCATTATGTTCATGTTTTCCACTTCGTATTTATCCAAATCATTTAGAAAATTAAATGGGTGTTTTAGTAAGATACTATGTTACTTAAACAAACATTTTATCATCATAAAATCATGACTAAACTCAGATGATTAGAGGTAAATTCAATTGTATCCATAATTTCTACTAGCTGTCCCCCTCGGTCCTTGATTATTCCATGGAAGTTATGCTGGCACACCGAAGGGGGGTTGTAAGTAGCTTAGGTCTGAAAATATGTTAGCCTTTACTTAATCTGACATTCTTGATGGAATGGAACTTAACCAAATTATTGTTATTATTACTACCATAATAATTATTATTAACGGCTTCACCCAATATCATATTTTTGGTACAATATAGAATTCTCAACACAAGGTATCTCAATAAGTCGATTTTGCAAAAATGAGAAAGTGATAACAGTACAAATATTCTACTGTCAATTGTTTGTCTTAGAAACCAGTCATAAGAATGTTCTTCAGCCAAATTATGACATTCTTACGGATTGAATAAGAATTCCCAAACTAAAATTTTTTAATGAAAGTTAAGGGATAGTTCTTGTAGGTCTTGGAAACCGGTTAGTTTCGAATATAGAATGTTTAAAACCTTATGCGTTCAGCGCATTTCTGTTTTACATTTTATTTCGCTACTCTAAAATAGGACGGAACAGCTATCTTTCAATACAAATAAAGATATTAATGATATAAATGATCGTAATTTGCTTATTTTCATGATTCCATTATTAATCAAGAACTAGTGAGTGAAGCATCGTTTCTGTGTCTTATTCATGTGAATTGTCACATGTTCTACGACAGATAGAACTAAATCGTATTCAGTTTATTTGACCCCAGTTTGTCCCTAAACTAAAGATGGCTGTCTGTAAAAGTGAATCTTGACCTGTTAATGTGATTTTATGACCAAATAGTCCAGTTTAATTGCAAGTGATATGAATCTAAATTGTTAAAAGGCATATTATCCCAATGTGTCTAATGATTTTAATGCTGATACGTTTCTATTTTCCAGACCAATCTGAGTCATAAACAGATCACAGCTTACTGTTCGCAATTTAAATTTAATTGGTGGAAATCAACATGGGCTGATTGATTTATATGGGCTGTCAGTCAGTATTCGATGTGTGTCTGTGATTTAAGAATGTGCTGGTTTTCCTCAACATGTCATTCATACTATCCTTGATAAATCAGGTTGATGGTTGTGTTTTTCTGTCGAGATGAATTTCCACCTAAACGCTTTTTTATTGTATATCTGTGTCATGAGAATATCAAGAGTTTCAAATCACTGAACAGAGCACAAACCGAACTACTGAGCTCAGTTATTCTAGACTTGATGAACCATTTATTTACTTAGACGAATGTCGTATAAATCCTCAAAGATAATGTAATGTCATTAATAATCTAACATAATTCACATGATATGCTGCTTTTGTTTATTACCTAACAATCTCTCCATATTGATATCCACTCCTTGAACGAGTTACTTGCGGACCGAAAAGGTAGAGGAGTAACGTTGTACAGCAAACGCACGTTACTTATGAGTATCATCAAGTGTTAATCTAAGTGATTACCATTTGGATTTAAATGAAGTAGAATTTCAAAAGACTGACAGGTTCTATTGGCTTATTAAAAGATAATCGAAACTGATATATGAACTCGTTTCTTAAAGACACCTTTCAAAATCTCCTAGAATAATACGACTGTAAACTTCAAGGAAACGTAGTGTCAGATTTTCCCACCAATCAATCTAGCTGGTTAACTTTAAACTTCATAACCTACTCATTTATGTAATTCTGATTCCCTTAATTTTTGATCATTATATTAATATTTGGTCAACCCAGTTTGGATAGTAGTAATGTTCTTTGATTAATGTTGTTATTCTGACGTTAATACATTTCTACAGAATTAGATCTTCACCATCTTTGTGAGATGAATGGATGGGACAATACCAAACTAGTGTCAGTGTGTAAATAAAATATTTAAATTGGGATTTATTTGGATACACAATGATGTAGTTTAAAACGAATAAACGGTCAATTTAACATCCGCTTTTATTCACCTACATTAGTTTATGACTCTTAAAGCTTTTCTTCACACAACGATATAGCTGACGGCTAAGAAATATTTAAACACAATTATATAGTCAAATATTTTATCCAGCTACAGTGGTAGGCAGATGTCAAACTAGTTAGACTATCTCGGAACAAATATCGTTTACGCGCAAAAGACTGAATTGAGTGTTCCACTGAATTGTCATTGGATAGATTTATTTGAGGTTTCAGTTGTGGGTAAGTGATATCATGAAAATTATAATTCAATACTGTGGAATATTATTGATTCTTTTAAGAAAACTGGAAAATTACTACCGACATAAACCTTTCCAATAACAGTGATCTATACAATGAAATGACTGATGGAACTCTTTTACATTAAAGAAGGGTAAACATTTAGAAGCGTGCACATTTGTCATAATTTTGAATTTACTTTTCTCATTAATATAGATCGATCGCATCGATTTTACTCACCTGGTGCCAATGAGATAGATGAAGAAAATGTATATCCACCGTTAGGTGGAGGACTATACAACCATAATCGACTAAATCGAATGACATTTTTCTCAACAACTTCATCAAATTCATCTTTAGCTTCAGGATTATCAGATACTAATTTTATTAATTTAGAGCAAACGGCAGCTACTGGTAGCAGTAGTAGTACAACTAATCGTTTTGGATTTTCTGACGGATTAATAAATCAGGAACATACTGATAATGATAGACAGCATTTAAATGTGGTCCAGACTAACAGTTCTCATAGTTCTTCAAGATTTATATATAATCCATTAAATGTTTACGATGCTGGCGAGAATTTACCACCAGTTGCAAATTCTGAACGTTACAGGCAAACATATAGTCCTAATTTTATACAAAATACTAGTGATTCTATTAGTAATGATTCTGGAGTATCTCCATACTGTTCAATTGTATCATTCCAAAATAATATGAATGGACAAAATTTCTGTATTGATTGCCGTTATAACCATGTAATGATAGGTGGACAAATGTGTTCATGTAAATGTCATAATGAGTCAAAAGAAGTCACAACAACACCAATACTAAATTACGGTACCAATACGAGGAGTGCTCAATTTTTAAATCGACCCTTGTCGTCTGATAACTATCTGACACCAACTAAATATTCATGGAACAGCACCTCATCGTTGTCAGAAACTATGACACATCGAGTTCTCCCTCCACTTACAAATGCATTAACTGAACAGTGTAATCATAATTCCGTTAATAATCATAATACATTCCGCTATTTCGGTGTATCTTCTCCAATTATGAACGATAACTCTCCAAGTGGATACGATTCATCGAATGGATCATCTTCTCCATCAGTGCTAGATTTAACCGGTGATGTAAGAACAGTAAATTTTGTTTCTCACGATCAACCTCCACTAAGAACATGATGACGATGATGCATTTTTAATTCTTTATTTTAAAATAGTCTAGCTTTCTTTCCTACAAATGTCAAATATCAGATAGTGCGTACAGAGAAATCATAGAATAAAACATGGGAGATTAATGAACAGTTAAAATTCCAAAAAAGCAGAGTTTGGACGGTATTTATGTTGAATGAATTAAATAAAATCTTTACAAAATTCGGAGACTAATTAATTACATTAAGTAACACAGCGTTACTTCTGGTCCAACCCCTTATTTATGTATTCTTTTCGTTTGTACTTATTTTGATATTGCTCTTTCGATAAAATCATTTAGTACTTCTATGCAAAAATATTAGAAATATTGTTTTCCGATCCCGGTCTCAATGCTTTAGGTATTTTGTTTTTTAAAATGAAAATTATTGTTTTATTCATTTATCCAATTTTGGTCTTTATATTAAAGAAAACAAAAAGAGATTTATTATACAATCAAAATATCTACATATTGTCAACTTCCTTCACTAGAAAGCAATTACACTCGATCTCATTTATAAATGATCTCCGATTACAACTGTAATGAACTTTGTCTTTTTCAGATATGAAAATTTGTAATCAAATGTGCATCAATAATTAATTATTTTTCAGATGGAAATCCCTTTGAAACTTTTGTTTTCTATTTGGGTTCGGGGTTATAAGTAGCGGGACTATCGGTTGAGGAGTTTACTTTGAAGATAGCGTCAGGAATCATTGGAGTTAACCGATCTGAGAATAAAACCAGGTAGTTGTTCAGTATTTCGGATTTTCAGTGATATTTGAATTGAAATAATTATTATGACCTTTGGCCTGTTAATTATGACGTGTCTAAATCGCCAAATAGATCACGACTTATATGACCTTTGCGCTGTGCCAAACCAACGAGTCTTTAACCAGTACAATCAACATGGAGTCGACTCTCAGTCCATACTAGTTCTTGCCCAGCCCTGTCCGTTTGAGTCCAGAATACAATCTCAGCTTCCACTGTAGGATTCGTATATTTCAGACATACTTAGTTTATATACAAATAGACCAGACCTAAAAGGTGTCTGTGATTGTGAGACACTAACTAATAGATTAGAAATAACGGAAGAATAGTAAATTGCATAACAGCAGTCAGTAGGTCAAATGAAAGCTTATGATAAAGGTAATATAAATATATGCGATCTAGTTACTTGACGGTTATACAGTTAGGATGTATATACAATAACTTCCTATAAGTAGGTCTAAGAAGTTACCCATAAGTTAGTGTTTTTCGGATGTAACAAAGTTGTATAAACAATAAATCGAATTGAACTTCATATGTAACTATTTAATGTTTGAATTCATCATTTCAAATAAATTGTATCAAGCTACATTTGCAGCTTTACGATATTTGGAACGATGATTGCCGAGTCTATAAATAGTTGTTGAATGCACACCAATTTACAGATACGATCAAGTTATATTACACATGGATGGGGATTATCTCAAAAATATAGGGTTTCATTGTTTTTAAGGACATGATGCGTAAATTATTTTGACAACAATTGTCGCAGAATTGTTACCGTAAAGCATTAGATACATTCGCAATACTTAGAGTTAACATCATTTCCAAGTGTAGTATCATCAACGAAATGCACACCGTAATAGTCATCGATCTTGCAAACATAGAGTTGTTTTTGATAGTTAGTGCATGGAAAACATAAATACGCTTAGTGTATAACTATAACATTGAGCGTTTTGGAACGAGAGATATCATAATAAATGGTTTATTTACTGGTGATACAACTTAAGTTTACACAACACTTTCTTAAACAAAATTAAGTAGGGTCTGTTGTTTCTATTTGGTCTTGTGATACGTTGAGAAAAGTAACAATTACGCACAGTATGCACATATGCCAATTAGAGACTGACCAGTTGCAGTCCTAACACATCGATGTGAAGATTCAAACAAACAATACTAAATGAATTTAACAATTAGTTTAGTTTTTAAAACTTAACCGGCTTTAATCAGTTAACACTAATAAAGTTTCCGTGGTCCAAAAAAGGTATCGCATCATACCCAACGATGTTGATGACTTTGGAATGCTCGATGACAAAATGACACGGCATATAAGAACCGGCAGGAGGACTGAAATGTTGTGATTTTAAAATGGAGAGATGAATCGTGATTCTAGTCCAGTTACTGCACAGAAATAATTTACAATGAAAACGGGATAAACTAAAGAAGAAATCTTTAAGAAATGAATGTAATTTGTCGCTCATAAACCACCCATTAAGTTCAAGTGAATGCGGATTAAACAGATTTACTGTTTAGTTAAAAGGAATGCATCTTAAGAACATAAGGAAGTAGTATCTAAACTACTAGTCACAGTTTTAAATTGTGAAAGAATTTCAAAACTCTTACTCAAATAAACAAAAGTTTGCGAAAGACGACGTCTTAATCGATTTTCTTTAGTCTATTTTTCGGTTGTTGTGATCTCCAACGTTTTTACAGTTTACGATGCCATTGTTTTTATGTTTCATGACTAATTACACGTCATTCGTCAAGTAAAAAATCCATTAAATTCGTGCTACTGATCAATAATCAGTAGTTAGCTTTCCCAAACACAATTTATTAACAATTTTTGTTTTTTGAAGAGCTTTCTCTGGAGCCCTTCTAGAGTTACTGTCGGACCCAAGCCTCGATAAAGGAGGACAGGTGGTATTGGGGTTAGCGGCCTCATCCCACAGAAAAATACTTTGTTAAGAAAATGCTGATCAGAAAAATCAAGTTATACTGTTGTGACGGGCTGTGTCCAAAATCTCATACGGGTACACGGTGTGCTACGCGCTAACACCCCCCAACTGATTACCTGAGAGAACTCAATAGTTAGCAAGGAAGTGTATTTGAATACCGAATAAAATGTACAAGTATTCATCCATATCTAAACCAATAAAATTCACTTGTCCTTCGTGTTATTTCTCATTGCCGTCGACTGACCTCATTAGGCTACTTCTGCTTGGCTCTCCATATCAAATATTATTTCCCTTTAACAGAGTGTGGTACTCTTATGGATTGAATAATTTTGCTTGACTGTTTACAAAGACTAACAGTCTCTAAATGTACTTACATTTCATAAGAAATGCAAAATTCCTTTCATTTTAGAGTTAAAACTTCACCCATAATCATAATAGGCTTGTTTGAAACAAATCATGTCTAAATAGAGTAATTTATCAGTGAAAGACACCATAACTCTCATATGTTTGTTTGGTTTTTCAAAATTAGTTTTTAAGTTATTCTCACCCAAAATAGTGGGCGGAGCTCCATGGCTCTTCGGTAAAAGGTTTGCAAAGAAAGTGTGACTGGACACCGGAGAAAACGTGTATTTAGGGATTATGATATCGGTGGTCTGCGGGATCAGCTTGACCCACTCACACTACGTAGTGCAGAGTATTCATCTTGGGATACACTACACTTATCTACCACTTTTGGAAGCTTTTACACAAAGCAAAAGCTCTGATTAGTTATTAGTAAGTTCAACGATGGAGAAATGTGAAACTTTCCCCAGATATGCTTTATATGCACATATTCAAATGCAGATATCAGAAATACATACATTCCAGTGATATACTTCTGGGTATGTGTTACATACAATCATGGAGTAAGCAGCTGAGTTCACTAATCCCACAAGTACATGTAGGCATAGAAGTTTCCGCTTGTGAGTATACGATACATGCACATACAGAACTTATAAACCAAGGCTCGTACACTCCATAGGATACATATAGGTATAGATAAAATCACCTCAGGTTGTAACCTATCAGTATTTTCACTGAATGGATATCAAGTATTCAAATCAGCCATACCGTATGAGCGCTTCCAGACAAGTCTGTTCAGGCACCGAAATGAAGTTTTCTACAGCACCACAGCCTTTCTATTGACTCAAGGCTGACCTCTCTTCTCGTGTAATCAAGATCAAGACAGAGTGAGTAATTAGCCAGATATCCATCTTTGGTAGGGTGGGTGACAAGCCCTATCTCCACATGAATTATGCAGAACGGGTGATCAGTCAGGTCTCTGCTATGCCGCTTGCGTTAGTTCATGGAAAGAAAAACCACTCAGTATTCATGGAGCACTACTCGGAATTTTCCCCCTGGCTGTTCAAAGTAGTGTCATTAGTTCTTGCATTTGGATTTCAATTAACAATTCACTGCTTGGAGCCTATTCTATGTACTAACTGCTGGGCCATTGATTGCTAATCCATAAGAATTAGTAAGACAAAGCTGATCAATCACCATGTTGTGGGAGTGCTATATTAATCCTTGGCACTACATATTGTTCATTATAGTAGTTCAAAATCAACCTTATGTGCAATATTACTTTCAATTCCGCCACTCCGGGAGCTACTGCCGGTCCCAATCCCGGATAAAGGAGGGTTGGGCATCGGGTCAACGACCCCATTACGTAGAAAATTAACTAGCCAAAAAACAACCGACCAGAAAAATTTATTCAAACCACTTAAACTCTGCCCTGGGAGATAGAAGGTCTTCATTTAGAAGGGTTATGACACCTAATGGCGAAAGCCGAATTCCTTTGGAAGTTACAAGTCCGATGCCCCTTCTGACAACCAGAGCAACCATTTATCTAGGCACATGGAATTACTCGTACAATGTGGGAGAGTCTTCCAAATTGCTGCAGAAATGAGAAGACAATATGGAGGTGCTTGGAATCAGTGAAACACATTGAACACAGGTTGGACAACAACGACTCGCCTCAGGGTAGCTTCTGTTATACTCCAGCCATGAAGAAGAATATGCCCCACATACACAAGGAGTTGCATTGATGCTGTCCAAACAAGCACAAAATGCACTTATAAGATAGGAATCTCATGGACGAAGGACAATCAAAGCTTCCCTCAAAACAGAAATAGGGCATTACAATGAACGTCGCCCAATGCTATGCGCCTACCAACAACTAGAATGAAGACATTAAAGATCAATTCTACAATAGCCTGTAGTCAATCGTCGAGAAGTGCCCAACAAAGTACCTGACCGTTCTGATGGAAGATTTAAATGCCAAGGTTGGAATGGACAACACTGGATACGAAGACGTCGTGGACTGGGAGAAAGGAACGAAAATGGTGAGAGATTTGCTAACCTATTGGCCTTCAATAAACTGGTCATAGGCGGTACTATATTCTCACACAAAAGCATTCACAAAACCACATGGACTTTACCGGATTACACTATGCAGTACCAAATTGACCATATATGCATCAATAAAAAGTTCAGGAGGATGTGAGAACCAGGAGAGGAGCTGATATAGCATCAGATCATCACTTGCTGGTTGCCAAGATGAAATTACAAATTAAGAAGCACTGGACAGCGGGACGGACATCACAAAATTTTAATACGACTGTTATTACGAAAGTGTATGTAGTGGATTATAAAACTTAACTGATAGTGTCTACAAGATTTGTGCATGATCAGAGAAAATTACTTCCTGAAATGAATATATAGAGTTATCCATAACAACATACAGTAATAATGTATAACAGCCAATAGCTGTGTCGAAATTACGATGGAAGACAGTATGAATGAAAACGAAGAACACCAAATATAGAAACAACAAACATACATACATAACAAAAGAATTGAAAGTAACTACTGTAAATATTGAGATCCACCAAAACGAATAAATCCGATGTCACAAGTTCATGACTACGCTTAGAAAATATTACGCAATCAATAGACACAAAAAGGGAGTTGGAGAAGAGAATAACTGATGTTAACAGTGGCTTAGTAGTTAAATCAACAGTAGATTACAGTTTGATATCTTATTGTAGCTAATCAATTTGAAAGATCTAATAGTACCACTAACCATCAAAGAACCATGCAACTCTGAGTCAAATATCTAAACATGTATCAGATAAATACGTCACGTAAGAATACTCAGAAAGTATCTTATTCTTTTCAACAAAAAGCTGACCTTATACAAAGTTTTGAATCTATTGACATTAACGAATCTGAATGAACCAGGTTCAATGACTGATCAGTCTTAAAGAATGTAGAAAACTAGCTATTTGTATAGTGGACTTTCTTAGTTTCATACTGTCTTTAGCCAGCGAATTTTAAATCACTGGAAATTACACTTTTTTTTAACAATTAGATTTTTCAACCTAATTAATTTATCTGTATAATTAATCAAATTTACTCCCGACATTTTAGAAGTCTGTAGTTACCATGAAACAATGTGTGAGTAAAATGTTGGTGTAGGATATATGTCTGAATTTGTAGCGCATCTGCTTCTCAATATGTGTGAGATATCAAGCATTTTTCCGTTTATTTATTGAGCAACCGCTGCATATAAGAGTATGATTCTCACTAGATATCATTTCGAGCTCTGGCTTTCACATCATATTTGACACCCCAACATCACTTCCATTTTAAAATAATCACCATTTTCACTTAATTTACGGTGAATGTATTTTGTATCCAATAGTAATAGTGTAGTGAATGAAAGCTCAGGTAAGGTAGACAGACTCACTTTTATATGCAAAAATCACGACCTTTGTAAAATATGAAAATCATATATTAAAAACATCATTCGCACATTTCCCTTGAGTTTTCATTTACATACTCCATTCTTTCAATCCTGTTGTTATTCTGATCGTTCTCTGTATTCCTTTCTCTTCTCTTTATTTCAATCTTTTACTGATAAGTATTTCACTTTCAATTCCTGTTACACACAACTTATATTTGTCCGTATATGTAGCGCACACCGCATTGGTAGTAGTAACGGTATTTCTATGCATTTTGTTAGTAAAAGTAACGCATGAGGACTTAACGTTCTTTTAATCTTGTTATCATGATTGCTTTTTACTATTTCCAATGTATAATGAGAATTAGTGTTCGCATCACCGTGAGATTATTACATGTCGATTTAAATGTAACTCTTTTTATTACGACAGAAGTGAATGATTTGAGGATAAACAATTCAGTTAATCACGTTCTTAACAACTACTACTGAATTTATTGATTAAAATAAGCAATAAAATAACTAGATGTGAGACAAAGATCAATCAGTGATACAAAAACTATGAATTAAACAATTCCTCACGACCTTCTCTATAATATCAATAATTAAATTTAAAGTAAGAGGACTCTTTAATTATTACATGATATTATTGAGAGGTTCTCAATAGTTGTCTAACTTAGATCGGCTCATGATCTCAATAATAGTTAACAACTTGCACAACTGCCACCCCCGTACGATCACTGATGACTAGCTTTGAGAGGAACTTCCAGAGTTCTAGTGAGAAGCCGTGACCAATGGAGTTCAATTGTGTCAGAAATGAGTTACCCATCGAAGGCAACGGAACGTGGTCGCGCAATATCGTGGATTGATTGAGGTTAGACTTATACACTACTGGATCCCAGTTCGATGGTTCAGAGGTTGAACGTTCACATATGAGACCGAAGGTCCTGGGTTCGATCTCCAGTAACAGTCGTAGATGCGCACCGCCGAGGAGATACATACTAGGACGCAATGATTTAGGGTCATAAGAATTTCACAGGAAATGATAGTATTACTGAAATACTGTAACTAAGGTATCTGATGTTACATGTTCGTTCGAAGTCAGTAGGAAAACCTGGACCTAGATTAGGTTTTAGTAGGCACCCACTAGGGAACTGATACTCATCATGTGATTTGAGTTTACGTTACCAAGCTTCAGTCTGGGTTGTCAATATTCAAAAGTGCCGGCAGAGAATTACCTCCTGTAGGACTGAAATATTGATGCTGACCGATCACTGGATGGTCACCGATCTTAAGCATGACATTGAACAATATCACAAAACTGTAAACCTTAGCTAAAGGATTGATCGACGTCGAGCACATTAGCGAAGGTAATGACAAAATGGTAATGGGAAAGGATGATTTAGAGTAAATTAAACACAACAACATTTATAATCGATAGACAGATTCTTTTGAATTTTTGTACAGGGCTAAAACATCAATAAAATATTTAGGAATATGGCATAATAATCATACTCGACGTTGATGGTATTAAAATTATCGCTTGCAAAAATGGTAACAGTATGTCCGTTTGGCTGAAATTATTGGTGGTTTGAAATATACAGATACCGTTTACTGTCATTTTTACTAGGAAAGACTGGATTTGGACTGTTATTGACAACCTTCATGAAAGCCATTACAGATTAGACAGAAAACCTTTGGTTTTCAAAACACAAAAAAAACATATGCATTAATCTATAGAAACAGATGTACAAAGTTTATTTTATTTTGCAGTGCTCAAGTTTTTTCCTCTTGCGTTGTTTTTTCTTACGTTTTAGATGCTTAGCAAGTTGATGGTGTTGTACAGGTTGACCGTTGTTTGTATCAGACTTACATGGTGAATTTGCTATTTTGGGGGAACTGTGTACAGAATTATTAGTGACTAACATTTTGTCCAAACGAGCTGGTGCTGGTGGAATAGCAATTTGATAATAATTGCAAATTTCTAAAAGCTGTTTACGCTCCTCAGCATTGGCAATAAAACTCACAGCTAAACCAGTACGTCCAAAACGCCCAGAACGGCCTATACGATGTAAGTATTCACTGGTATTCATTGGCAAATCAAAATTCACAACTAATCCCACTGTCTGAACATCAATGCCTCTAGCCCACATATCACTACTGATTAAAATACGACTGAAATATAAAAGGAATGCAGAAAAGAAATGATAACATTATGTAATGTACAGAAATTGGAAATTATTTGTAAGTAGTGTCAATAACAATCAAAAGGAAACTAGAGCGACAGTATGCTGACTATCAACTGAACAAAAGAACAACGGATTGAAAGGATACATCTTTGACCATTAATTTGGTTAATCTGATAAACTCTTGACGTCATAAATAGTATTTACTTTAGTATAAACAGACTAATCAATGTACCTCATTTCCCAAGTACAGAATCATGTACACAATTTCTTTGCGTAGAAGCTAGTGGGATAAAGCAACCATTTAGGCCGAAGATAGCTGTTAAAGTGAAGTTTGAACCTAATTCCGACAAAAACGACCCAGTTACTTTTCTACTAAAGCTTTTTGATGACAACTTTCATCAGGTGTAAGGGGTTTGTGAGGATTGTTAAATTTCACAATCTACATCGCGAACTGACTTTAATTCGATCATCATAAGAAACGAGGAAATACTAGACAATTATTTTATCCTACCATGGGACTCTTCAGAAATGTGCCCTGACGATCCTGATGAAGATTGAACTCAAGGGTTTTAGGTCTTGAAGCCAGCGACTCAGTGGTTTGAAGATGTGTGCTCGCATAGATACCTAAAAACCGTGGATTCGACCCCCCCAGTAAATTGAGGAGTTCCATACTATGACGAAACAGCTGTCCTATGTTTCCTGATTTCCAACAGTTGTTTGACTAAGATTAGGTCGTGATATAAACTATAAAATAACAACTTTCAGTTTAAACTAATATTTCAATAACAGTATAGTGGATAATATATACTTCGTTAATGTGAATGATCAGCTCGTTGACATAATGACGAGAGATTAACATTTACAGAAATTAGAACAACACATGTAAGCGAACAATTGTTTTCAATTAGATCCTCACCAGGCTTTACTCTAATATTCGTGCATATTAGAGTAAAGCCTGATGACGATCTAATTGAAAACAATTGTTCGCTTACATGTGTTGTTCTAATTTTCACAATGGGAATCTTTAATATTTACAGAAATTTTGGAGAATTCTTTATTATCTAATTTTACGAAATGAAAAGTGATAGTTATTACTGCTTCTTCCGGGAAATAAAAAAAGTGAAATACATTTATGCATTTTGTAAAAAGGCAAATATTTCAAAGAAAGAGTAGCGAAAGTTAATCAAGAATTGTTAACATCAATAGAATGCTGGTATTGACAATAATGCATACAGGTTTATGAGCTTTAACCACTGTGCGATTATACTAACTGATCACTGAACACCTGGTTAATTCAATGGGATTTGAGAGCCTAAGCTAAAAAGTTAAAGGGCTTTCTTCTTTTTACATAAATCTTCTATTATGACAGTATTTACGAAGAAAAACAAGAAAATTACCATTCACCAGAACGAAATTGTTTCATAACTGACTCTCGTTGACTTTGATCAAGATCACCATGAGCAGCAGCCACTGTAAAGCCTTCTCGTTTCAACTGATTTGCAAGCCACTCAACTTTTCGTCGAGTATTAACAAAGACAACAGTTTGTGAAACACAAACACTGGAAAATAAATCATTTAACGATTCGAATTTCCACTCCTCTGAGCCAACATCGATATAGAACTGTTGAAGATCAGAAAGACTAAGTTCGTCTCTAGAGATGCAATTTAAGACAAATTAGTGAAATTAACAGGTATTGGAAAGGTCAGTTAGTATAGTGAAAATTTACCAAATGATACTGCCTGGGGTGTGAAATCCTTAAATACAATATTTTGGAAGAAATCAAATGTGAGATTATGTATTGCTTCAACAGGATTATTATTCCTCCGACTTTTGTTCAGCGTGACATTTAATTGTATTAATTTTATGAGACAATTTCTGCGTACAATGAAATCAACTTCAAAGTAAATTAATCCTCGTTGACCTCTACCGAATAAGTATTCCTTACAAGATTTACCTTTTGTAGTAGTCTAGATTGCGAGAAAAAAGAGCTATGGTATACTGGTATCAAAGTGTAACTAACAGTTATTGCTATTATCACAGTTGTATCATAAGTAAGTGAATAAACTACATAAATCCCAGCTAATTAATTGGATCAGTCAAGTAGTATGACTTTTAATCATATTAAAACTAAATCATCTAATACGTTGATATCGCAAGATCATAGATTGATTGAAGTTAGACATTAACAAACAGAAGATCCTGTGTCCGATTCCTGCGGGCGGGATCATAGATGCGCACTGCTGTCTCACATTGGGATGGAACAGCATTCAGCGTTTCCAGGCTTCCAATGTTGTCCTAGTTTAAATTGACTGATTTCAACTGTGAAAATATCTATATTTATTTCGACTATTAACTTCAAATTCAAAAGCTTTTTGCACTTAATTTAGTCTAAAAAACCGAGAAGCATTACCGGGTCTCAAACATAAACTGGAATTCAATAGCAACTACACCATAACCTATACTATGTTATGCAACTAAATTTACGCTATTTTCATTCACGCTTATTGCCCCCAAATGCCCTGGCACGGTCGAGGGTGGAGAGTCATCTCTCTCTCTCTCTCGAAACACTCTCACATGGCCACGTGCATACAACCACTTCCAGGGAAGTCCTACCCACTGCCTTCTCGTAGCGGGGATGTTGTTTATGAGATTGAGAGAACGTTAAGCGAATGACCGGAGCTTTAACCGGGATGGTGGATATGGAGGATCCACATAGGGGATTTGAAAAAACCCTGGTTCCAAACCAATGGTGCACATGGGCTCCAGTACCCTGAAGGGACAAATGGCGTATGAACCAATAGTCGGTCACCGGTTACCATGGGACGTCATCTCCTTACGATGCTCTACTGCCTTGTGGATTAGGCCTTTAGGTCAAAGACTCCGAGTGTGGCTCCCTGAGAAAACCACCTGCTTCAGTCTGAGCACCCGAGGGGTATCATAGCCCTCACACAATTAAATTTTTTGTGTGTGGCGCATATGTATTTTGTGCCCCCTTGTACCAATATTTATGTGTTCAGATAAATAAATAAACTACTTAGAAGACTATAGTTTTGTTTTATCATAAAAGTATATCGCAGGAAAGTTACGTTATTTGAAAGATAAAAAAGTGAAAGAGAATAATATGTAATCAATCACTACTGTTTTGGATCTGTTCACTTTTATACTATTCTACAAAACCTATTTTTTATTCTAATCTCATGTTAAATCAACGATTCTAATATTCATTAGAACTTAAATGCCTATATAGTTAGTGAAATTTATAAAAATATGAAAGCAAGAACAATTTCCATTTATTTCAAAGGTAGTAAATGTCAAAAAAAGTAGGAATAAGATTGCTTTGTTGATTTTTTGAGGAACTAAAATAAGAAATTATAATACAAAAGTATTACAACTCATAAATACAATAATAATAACAAATTTTACCTTGGTACAAGAACACAAACAGGATTAGATGTGAGATTTTGAAACAATTCTAAATGCTCTTTAAGCATTGTAGCTGAGATGATAACAATTTGACAATTGACAGACTTTTTGTTATTCAAATTAGCGTGAGATGGGAGGCGGCGATATATCTCCTCTAACTGATCGTGTAATCCTCTATTTAACATTTCATCAGCTTCATCCAAAACCAAAGAACGTAGTTTGTTTAAACGTATGTTACCTTGTCGAAGAAGTTCTAAAAAGCAAAAATCACTGGAATAGGGTAATGAGCGTTACCAGATGATAACTAATCTCAAAAAAGGATTAAAATGGGATTGTTACTGTGAGAAGTTTAACAGCTGTGAAAATGGTTAGCTTACTTAATAAGGATCCACTTTTATAAACAATATATCTCTTACAGGAAAGTAGTAACTTTCATGATTGCAGGAACAATCAAACTTCTAATGTAGTATTAATAATTAAATCCTGACAACAATCTGAATTCTGTACAGACTTCAGATTCTATGTTGTTTTATTTACTTGATAATACTTTGAATATATATGCATACAAAATACTCTGTAAGTGAAAGAGTTACTGGGCACTTAGCTTGCAATCTGTATGTAGTAGTTTCGAATCCATCAATTCCTCTTACCTCGAGTTTTGAGCAGCCGGGTAGTATCATTCGACCAAACACAGACAGTGTAACTTGTACTAGATGAGTTACTTCAAATAAGAAAATAAGACGGTTGTGGTTTGCATACTAACTGAATTAATTCTGCTTATCGTGGTTGATTGACTATTTACATAGTGACTGATCGGAGCTTTTCATGTGAAAACAATGGATAGGATGAAGGATAATGTAGCTTGAAAAAACAAATAAATTGACGCGAAATCATTTGATAGTTTGTCAAGTTTACTTTGGATAGAATTTATCAAAACGAACGTCTATCGCAAAAACCAACTGGAAACTACGTAGTGTTGGACGGTTGTTTCACTTTATTTTTAAGATGAACAATAAAATGCATGAACATAAATACTAGGATGATTATAGTTGTGTTTAAGGAAACAGTAAAGTTACATAATATCCTATTTGAAAATGAATATTTGTTATTTTAAGCACCCTACTTATCTTGTTATGTAAGCAAACTTAAGGGAAATTTTAAAAGTAATAATTCAGTTATAACGTAAGTAAATTTCAAGAACACTAAACCAAATAATTTACCTAACACTCGACCTGGAGTACCAACGACAACATGTACTCCCTTATCAAGTTCGCGAGCCATTTGCATAGTATTGTTTCGCCCACCACAACAGGCGACACATCTGATAGACAAGTAATCAGACAATGATGACATAACCTAAAAACATAAGATAATAAATACTTCATAATTACAATAATGGTAATATGGTCTATTCTTATTAGCTGAAGATAGACTTGATTATTCAAATATGTACTCAATAGCTTACTGACTATCAATTGAATAAAGCAGCAGCTGACTGAAAAGATAAACCTCGGATTATTAACCTGAAAATGCGATAAACCTAAAACTTCATGTGTGACATTTACTCTGATATAAAAGCTTGGCAGACTCATTAATGTATTTCATTTACCAAGTTTATTTATTTACACACATAAACATTGGTACAAGGAGGCACCAAATATATATGCGCCACACAAATTATTCGGTTTGTGTGAGGGCTGGAATACTGTTCGGGTCCCCAAACCGAAGTAGGTGGTTTTCTTAGGGGGCCACTCCCCGAGCCGTTGACCTAAAGGTCTGATCCGCAAGGGAAAGGAACAACGTTAGGAGATGCGGTCCCATGATAGCCGGTAACCAACAATAGGTTCATACGCCATTTGTTCCCTCGAGATCCTGGAGCTCATGTTCACCACTGGTTTGGAATCAGGGTATTCCAACTTCTCTGCGGGGATCCTCCATATCCACCAATTCTTGGATTATCAAGTGAGAATTTTCGTAAATAAGCTACTGAAACAGAAAAATTTTAATATATTCATACACTTTCATTAAAAAAACCCATTGTTTATTAATACTTCCAGATTAGTGGCAAAATACACTTATGTATATGGTTTAACATTTCATCTGAAAATCTTTGTTTGCTTTTTTTCGAAGGGGATAGTACTTTTTACTGAGATGTTATAAATCAGATGATAATTTCGATATTTGCTCCGTTTTCATCACCATATTTCGTTTTATCATATCGAAAATTAATGAAATACAGACAGAAACCTACATGATGTATTTGGACAGCCAATTCGCGAGTGGGTGCCAAGACTAGCACTTGAATTTGACAGATCTCGGGGAGAATGTTTTGCAAAGTTCCTATGCTAAATGTTGCCGTTTTCCCAGTCCCACTCTGAGCTCTGAAATTCAAAAAAGTAACTTCTGTTCTATGTATTGTAAATGTGCTGAACTTACTGTGCAATTAAATCTCTTCCTAAAATTATTTGTTTGATAGTTTTCTGTTGAATTAGGGAAGGTTTTTCAAACCCTACAGAAGATTACATGGAACAATGCAACAAACCGTAGGCATAAATCCCCTTCAAAAGGTTATCTTTTAACCCCATAGAAGCAAACGTTGGGTAAGATTTCAGCGATTCGGATAAATTGAAGTCACTTTCAGATAACGCATCCATTTCCAAAAAATCCGTTCATCTAAAAGTAGGTCGTAAATACTCCGACAAACAATGCGCCTAACCATAAGCAGAAAATAAATTATGTTGGTTACATAAACGGTAGCTACAGAGTATATCATCTGTTATCAAAACAGTAAGGTTATTATAGATAATACAGATAACAAATAACCCCTGGTTACACAATCTCTCTCCAATTTAATCTCACTTATTTATTGTAGTTATACGAGTGTACTTAACTTCGAACCATGGCCCGATAATAACTGATTGATTAGAGCACTTACCTTTCAACCACTTTTCTTTTTAGCAAATGGTTAGTAGAATAAGTGTGGTTTTATTTCACCATATTAATCAGTACATAATTACTCAGTTAAGATTGGTATTGACAGAAAATGAAATTGCCTTACAAAATAAAATTGCAGCTACTAGGCTAGTGAAAGAATTGTGCTTCCATTTTTGTATACAAAAGTTACTCTAAAGGAGAATAATAGAAGTCCCTCGAATGAAAAAAAGAACTCCATCATTTTCTCAACTTTATTAACTATTTAAAAGTGAATTGTGAGTTTAAGTATTCGATAAAATATCAAATAGCCACAGATTTTATCTCAAAATTGGACGGATACCAAAGGTCACTCGTACAAAGGTAGCTGGGAAATGGTACCCAGAAAAGATTATTTAATTGAACGATTACTTCTTACTGAACCTGTTCTCAGAACCAGTACACAAGATTGTGTGAATCCTGTCATCAGGCATACTGACAATTGCTGAATAAGTGGCAATCCATGATCTGGGGTTAACATGAAACTAGAAAGATAAAAACCTAATAATATCACATAACCTAAATTACTAGTTTCAAATGGGCTACTGAGTTTTTCAAAGCTCTTGAAAATACCTTATGCGGTAAAGTCCAATACATAATCTTCCCTAAATGTTAATGGGATAGATATATGACAACCGTAAGAAGAGTCCAAACTCAAATTCGAATAATATAACTGGTCCATTTTTACTTATTCAATGGGAACGCGTGAGTCGAGATATATTAAGTTCTTCATGTAAACTTAATATAAGCTCTAATATGTTAGGCAATTGAAAGTAGTCTAAATTTCTTACCAACTGTCTTCGATAACTTAATATCAAAACACAATGAACACAAATCAAGTTACTTAAACTAGTGATCCCATTGGAATTTCATCGACAGAATACATGTGTTACGTATGCTCAAACACCGCCTGTCTCGATGGGAGATACTTTCTTGTGTAGGAGTGGGCTGGAAGAAAGCCAAGAATGGGATAAAAAACATGGCCTCGGTTCATGAAGTTACTAACAATTGAACTTAGCCATATTAGTAGGTACAGACCATCGGGTTAGGGTTCACATGATTATCGTAACCACCGGTTAGAGACTTTGAATGACATAGCTCAAAATCATTTCCAATAGCCCAGGTGCACCCATTCTTTATCTTTCTCCAAGTTCTGAGATTCTATATTTACCTTGAGTTTTTTCTCTCTTTATTTCATTAATTTAAATTTTCTCGAATCCTATCTTCGATGGTATTTTCACCACTGTAATGTACGAACAATTTAAGTCCACATGGGACGCATATATTTATTTAGATGGAACACAGACTTTTTATGAAAAAAATATACGCTTCGTTTTCAATCTTCCATTTGCATCTACTGCTTGGAGAATGTCTTCTATAGCTTCTCTTCTGTTATCACAAGTATTCTAAACTTGCCGTGCTTTTGGTTTCATGAGACTTCTGTCTTCGGCTGTCCGCTGCAGTAACTTCTATGTTATGACTAACTGACCGATTGACAGAATTCGATCACCGCTGGAGTCTAAATGAGCATGATATTCACCACTGCTTACTGATTAATCAATGTCAATTCTAATGTATCTTTGTTGTTCCAGGTTACTATAATAGACTTATTATTAACTCTACATTCTTGTCCTGCTTTGGGACGAGTTGAGTAAAGTTTAGTGTTCGGAAACCAACACAGCTTTCAGCCATCATTGTCCTAATTAGGTTATTTACATATTAACTGATATGTCATTACAACGTATTTCAGTCTCCCGATTTACTGCCACTGAGTCCTTCCCACCAGGATACAACTAACTCTGGGTTAACCTTCAGGAATTACCATAGAATTTCGGGAAAATTAAGTGGCAATGCAGCACATAGTTTACCTTTTCCCTTGCCTTGGAGACAATGTAAAATTTTCCCTACAGTTCGCTTACATTTCTTAATTACATTCCATAGAACGCATCACACTTTCATTAAGTCGCTAGACTAGATCCCAAAAATATCATTGATTTATCAGTTAGTCATACGAAACCTAGAACCTGACACGTGTGTACATCGGTTTAGGTTGCCACACCCCATCAGCACACCTAATTATCAGGTAAAACCCCATAGTACAGATAGTAACAGTATTAGTGATAATAAAGATTAGACATCTAAGATACGGTTCAAGAACATATGGGTTAATGGAATGAAAGAATTATAAGGTAGTTTACGAACTCAGGACTTGAAGGAAAACAGAATGACTGCACCTGTACTACTGCAAATGACCTGGATCCATGCCACTCAAGGTGTCTAACTATTGGTTACAACAATCATGAGGACCCTAATCAGGTTATCTGCACTCACCTGCATTGCTCAGTTCAAAAGTCAGTGTCTTTGTGGACTGATACGTGTTGGTTTGGTAGCCCCTAGCTTTCTTCCAAACTGCTACAACTACTACTACACCAGATATTGTCGTTCATCGGGGTAGTAGGCGGATGGGCATACGTAATACATGCTCGAACCATCTCAAGATGATAAAGTTCATTTACCTCATCAACCGACTCACCATCCTTACTTAGTACTCAGTGTACAACATGAGAATTGCTAACTTGATGGTCCCAAAATACACGAGCAACGGTTTAGAGACATTTATGGTGAAATAGTTGTAACCCATGAATACTCTGTTTTTAAAGGCTACGTTTTAGTCATAAAGCAGAATGGAACTATTGTACATCAAACTCGTTCTTTAGTTGAAATAAGGATATATCGCCTACGTCACAAATAACACAAGTCGGCAAAAGCCAACAGAGCTTTCTGAATTCGTGTTGAGACTTTGTCAGACACCGACCAACCAAGGTCGACAAAACATTCAACTACATCACTATCCATCATTAGTTCACTTGCTGACCCATACCAGTCCTGAAGCAACACTTAGAACTGTATTATCTGTGTAATGTCGGCAAAAAGCGAATGTCTTGTGTTTAAACCGGGCTGGCAGGTATAGAAAATTCATCTAGAGTATTTGGAAAACCCCGATTCAAAACCAATAATGAACATTGGTTTCAGTATCCTGAGGGAACAAATGGAGTATGAGCCAAACCACAGGTTGAATATAAAAAAAGTGAATGAGTGAAGAAAAGTATTTAAATTGACAAGCGAGAATATGTGGAAGACCCGGCAACTATACCAGAACAAGCTGTGTGAGTGGGAAGTGTGAGAAAACTGTATGGCAGAACCAGGCAGATAGCAGGGAAATATGGTAAACCATAACCACCAGTCAAGAACGAACGCGTCAAACCAATCACTGAGATTCAGGCGCAATGAAACAGGTGGATACACTACTTTGAACAGCTCTTGAGTAGAATAGCCATCAGACAAATCAACGATGGAAAGGAAGTAAGACCAGACTTCACATATGCTGAAGCACTCAAATCAGACATAAAAGTAACTACAAAGATGCTCCATATCCTTTTCAGAAAGATTCAGGAAGAAGAACAAGTACCAACGGACTGAGAAGAGAGACGCCTCATCAAGATATAGAAGGGAGAACATAGTATTTATGAAAACTATAGAGTCACAGTGAATGAAGGATTCAGTAGACGCCAAACTCCAAGTTCAACAAGCTGGCTTTTGTAAGGATCGACAATGTAAACCATTTTTGAATAATCACTTGAATGAAACTTATCACTATAAATCGATATCCTTGATAACGATAAAGCATATAACAACGATGAGAAAACCTTGTGGAATATTTTTCGACACTATGGAGTACTAGAGATCGTTACCATTATACAGAACTCCTACTCTCGACTGCAATGCGAAGTTGTATATGGAGGGTAACTAACGAAAGAATTCCAAGTGAGGAATGGTGTAAGACAAGTAGGATAAGGACCTACTATCGTTTTTCCCCTTCTGCAAGCTGATGACTAGAGTATGAAGACCTCCACATATCAAGAAAGCATGTAATACAGTGGACATACTAGATGCAGCTGGACGACTTGAACTTTACAGATGAATTGACCCTTTCATCCCACACAGAAACAAATACAGGCAGAGACAACCAGTGTAGCAGCGGTCTCTTTGGAAACAGGACTCGATATTCACAAGGGGAAAAGTGAAATCCTAAAGCACAATACAACGAGCACAAACAAAATCATACTTGACAATGAAGCTCTGGAAGAGGTGGAAAATTTTGTGTACCTAGTCAGCATCATCAATAAACAACGAAGTTCTGATGCAGATGTGAAGACATAGATTTGCAAAGCAAGAGTGAAATTCCAACGATTGAAGAATATGTGGGACTCAACAGAACTGTCACCTGAAACAAAAGTCAAAATCTTCGGTTCCATTTGTATGGAGCTGAAAATTGGTGCACTATAGCCACCATGAGCAAAACGCCCATACAAGATACTCTGGATTTACTGGTATGAGACTATCAGTAATAACCCACTCTCGCAAAGAGCAAACCACTTTACGGTCGAGAAAGGAGTAAGAAAAGGACATTTGAGGTGTATAAAATATTGTGAAAACCGTCAGACTGAATCACACAGCAAGTCTGACCATGAGACTGTCAATGAAAAGAGCAAAGGGGGAGACCAAACAACAAGGATGTAAGAATCAGAGACAGACATCACGTCA